ATTCTCACCCGCACCCCACAAGTCTCTCCACATCCACATCCACATCCACTGATCATGACCACGTCAGGTGATGACGAACCTACCTGCACCATCTGCTACACCGGCTCAGATTCCGTTCCTGATTTAGGTGATTTGGTCTGTCCTTGTAAATGTAAGGGGAGCTTGAAGTTTGTTCATCAAGGTGTGTGCTGGGTTTTTATTTTGTTGTGTGGTTTGGGGCTCTTTGTGTACGCGGTGTTGGCCTTATTTTTTTTTCTTGATAGAGTGCCTCAGGACTTGGAGGGCTCAAAGAATTTCAGGGGTTAGAAGATGCCCGATTTGTAGGGGGTTGTATCGATTGGATTTGGGGGTTTGGTTGAAGGCAGTTTGGAATGAAGGTGGGTCAGGGTTACGGTTTTCGTCAGACGTTATGGATCATATTGAATGCTGATTTCTTGTCTTTATTTCTCCTATTGTGGATTATGGCGTCGCTCGGTCACTTTATCAGTTCATCCTGTCATTGAACACATCACGCTTCTTTGTTCTCCATCAACCTTGATGTCTTGACTGCAAGAATCTGTTAAAGGAAGATGTGACTCTGGCGACCACGGTGTTTTGAACCTCATGTGAATGAAAGCCTGTTTTCTCTTTACCTTTTCATCATAAACGTTTCAGTTCATTTTTTTTTCTGCTTTAACGTCATGCAAGTTCGCCACTGGATTGACGCGTTTTCCAATAAACAAAGTCTCAAGATGTATGCTCACAATTTTTTTGCTGCGGCTAAAGATAAACAAAGTACATTGAGATGAGGTGAATGATGTAAACTATTACATATATATCAGCTATAGAAATTGCTGGCAAACATGACTGCTTGAGCTTAGAGGCTCATTAATCCATACCTTTACGACCGAATTGGACTGGCTGCTATAAATAATGCCAGAAATATATGACAAGTTCTTGAATCCACGTACCCTGTGTACTGTCATGATATCGTTGGTAGTTCACTGGCTCTAAACCTCACGTGCCAAATAGTTGCTCAAAACTATACTTGAATGTTCCACATGAAAGGAAATGGGATACAGTAAACCCAGTGAGCACCACCAACACAACTTTCACTGACCTCGGATCCACAAGGACGTCAAATGCTTCGTCCATCGCGCGGGACAGACAAGACGCGCAGCCTCCCCACCCTCGTTCAACGATGACGCAAGGAGGAAGGGGCGTGGGGTGAACCGTGCGACTTGCGCAAAAAGATCCAACACCAATATCATGCTTCTTACGGTCTTTACCTCTTACCTACCCCGCTGGAATGTTGGGGCAAGTTCACGGTTAACTTCATTGGACCCCTAATCTTCTCCGATTGCTACTATCAGATCACTCTTGGTCAGCAGTTTCTCTCCCATTGTGGAATATGGTATCAATGATGATACCAAGTCGTCCACCACTGGCTACACCCCCTTCTTCCTCGAAACTGGACGTCATGCAATGTCTCTCCTTGACATCAACCTTCCTCCTCGCGCGGCCCCCTACCTTAAACACTGGCAATCAGTTCTGGAGTTAGTTAAAGACAACATCCCAATGCCAAACACACCACCCTAACTTTCGAAGCAAAAAGCAAATTCATTGCGGCTTTAGCAGCCTTTGCATCAGCAAACAATGTGTAATTTCCTTAAAAATTCCAATTGCCCGCTTCCTGGAAAATCCACAACGTCTTTTTTACCTCGATCCGTTGCTTTCGCTAGAATGAATTTTCAAAAAAAAAAACGATCCTTAAGGGGTTCGAACCCTCGACTTCCTGCTCCGGAGGCAGACGGAATACCACTTTCCTAAAGGACCTTACCGCATGTTGACACGGAATTTCTTGTCTTAGTCTTAACATGTTCTTTGAAATCTTTGTTTGTTGCACAAGGAGTTTCTTGGATTTTCTTTCTATGTTTTACTTGCGGTTTGTTTACGGATTATTCCTTGTTCCAGATGAGGACCCCGCATCTTTTGCCTATAAAAAAAAAAGGGCTCGTTTTTTCTCAATAAAGGGGAGAGTTCTCAACCAAGTTATTCAGACAATATTTCCAAACACTAGTTCTTGCTATAACCGCAGGAATCAGAAACGACTTCTCATTAAGGTCGTTCTGTGATATATGGTAGCACTTCCAATTTAAACGCGACCTCGACCCACGACCCCCAACAACCACAAGCATGTCTCAAGACATGGACGAATTCCAAGGCTACGACGAGGCCGAGTCACTTAGGCAGCAGCTTCAACAGGCTCACGCGGCTCTCGACGAACTACAAGCCATCAACCAACAACGCGAGTTCGAGCTTGATCAAGCAAGACGAACACCACACTTAACGGCACAAGTCCCTCAAACCGGACCCATCTCTCAGGAAGAACTCCTGGTTCAATTTGCGCGAGCAATCTCGACGATGCAAGACCAGATGCAAGCGCAGCTCAGGAACCAAGAATCTCGCGAACAAAAGCTCCCACAGTTCAAGATTCCATCAGTTAAGCCACCAACGTTCCGAGGTGATTCAAAGAAGCAAAACGCCCACGAAGCTCAAGCCCAGATCACGGCTTACCTACGCGAGGCGGAATTAGCATGTGAAACTAACGATCTTCTCGGCGATTTCGTCAAACCCCGATTCACCAACCAGAAAACCTACGTACAATGGCTACAGTCAGGACTCTCGGGGCAAGCTCTCGTCGAATGGACAAAGATCGATAGCGGTACAAGACACAACATGTCCTGGAAGAACTTTCAGTCTTGGATCCAACAAGAATTCTCCTCACCGCTAAGCCTTCAAGAAGCAGTACACGCGTTGGAAGATCTCAAGCAGAAAAACTCCTGCGTGGAATACTCAAAGCGTTTTAACGACCTCTTGGAAGCGATGCGAGCCGAAGGACTAGAGATGCCAGACAAGTACCTATGCATTCGGTACCGACGAGGACTGAAAGACAACCTTGCGACGGAAAAGAAACTTTTCGACTTGGAAGATATCGACTCACTGCAGAAGGAAGCTGAACGACTCGACAAATTCTTCTGGCAGTCAACTGGACGATCGAACAAGGAAAAGAGTCAGAACCAACAGCAAAACGGACGCTTCTTTCGATCGGAGCGCTCTCACGGAAAGAGCGCAGAAACCCAAACAAAGAACTCCAACAACGGTTCAGGGCCAACCCCAATGGAACTCGGAAACACCGAGGCACGCCCTAAACTCACTAAAGAAGAAAAGACCGAATACTGGAAGAAAGGATGGTGCGTCTTCTGCAGAGCTCACGACCACACCCTCAACGACTGTAAGGCTCCCGGTAAGAGGACTCACTACCCAGCAAAGGTCAACAACATCGAAACCAAGAACTCAGGCGAAGGAAGTTCCGGAAGCTCCGGTTCCTCGACCTAAGAGTCCGACAAAGACACGCGCTCTTCTACGGTCGACCATTCCAGGAATCGAGCGCGACAACAAGATCCGAGACAACGACGCGGCAGTATCGGACAAAGACCATACCGCGAACGACACAACAAAAACGAAAACAACCACCAACACGGAAGCAAAACCGTGGCCTCCAGGATTCAAGAAGGATCGACTGGATCTATCACCACTTACGTACTGGGTACCTTACCCCAAAACCACGAAGAAGTCTTTACTATCACTTAGCCTATACCACGTTGGAAAGGCAGAAACACCAAGCAGACTTCTAACATTCGACGTCACCATACGAGGAAAGAGCGGAACTCTTCTACTGGATCCCGGTGCGGACCCCTCGTACATCAAAACCACGCTGGCCAAGGGGATCGGATCGTTCCCATCAAGCGATCAGATTTTCCAAATTTCGTTAGCAGCAAGAGACCAGCACGCCTTGGAGGGACGCCATCATCGGAAACTGGAGTTCAACTTCGAAGGAATTAACAACTCTCTCGATCTCATCGCAGCTAATATCGAGTACGACATCATCCTTGGGATGGACTGGCTAGAGGAACACAACCCCACAATCGACTGGGAAAAGAAAACGGTCACCTTCAAAGACGGAAGAACTATCCTCGCCAACAACAGCCCTCTTGTCAAAATTCTAACGCGTAAACTTGACGCGTTTGTTGTCTTTCCGTTTTCTTTTCCCTCCCCAAACACATCCCTTTGCCTCAGAGCTACCCTTTATCTTTTTATTCGTTCTTTTCGTTGTTTACATTAGCGGTTGATGAGGCGGCCGCTACTGTGGCGCTAGGATGGAGCGCCACAGGTCGTCATGGGATGGATAGGGAGGGCAGGATAAAAAGGATCTGTGTTGGGGATGTTCCCA